GCGCACAGCCTAATGGAGTAGTCACAGTCAGAAATAAACCACAAGTTATAACTTGAAAAGGCATATTCAGGGAAGGATATTTGGTCAAAAATCCATTCTCCTTTGTCATGTTATTAACCATTACAGGAATTAATGTCATTGGTGGAACACACATAGATATTCTGCTTACAATAACAGCGAATATGCCTAAAACAGCAACTCGTTTTGATACACTAACTTGTTGATTTTTTTGGTCCATTACGGCAATACCATTCCGAATTTCTTCATAGCGCATCATAGGAACATTTATGCAATTGGCTGCTGCAACCGCGGCCAAAGGTACAATACGACCTATAAGTGGATGGGCTTGTGCGGCCACACGATTTAGTGATAAAGCTGTAGCTACTGCACCTCCAGTGGCCAAACAATAGCATTTTATAATTTTTCCCGTTTTGATTTCAGATTTTCCAGAACGATTTGTATAATTAACGATGGCGTTAAATGTTTGATTAATCCATTGCCAAAAGACCACTGCAGTATTTGTCTTATAAAAGGTCATCATACAGCCTGTGATAATCATATTCATTGGCATTTGCGCGGACATGCGACCAATTAAAATAGATTTTTCTCCAGTTTCTGGATGAAATGCGGAATCATAAAGATATTTTGCTTTCCACACATCTTCAATTGTATATGCCTCAGGCACATCCCTGCCTGCACGGTAATTTTCCACAATCCCACGTGCTCTCTCCAACTGCGCTCCTGTTGCTAAAATATTTAAAGGATTCGTAAGCAGAAAGAAATGTTTCGCCCGTCCGATATAAGTGCTTTGATCAAATTTCGGTTTGTCAATGTCGACTCTTGGCAATGAAGATATTTTTTTAAGAACAAACTTTGAGTAGCCATTATTATTCATTAAGATATATTCACAAAAATAACTTTTATTATTGAGACAATTATTACAGCCAATAATTTTGTTGAATTTCACAAAAAATTTTTAAATTGAATTAAAAAAAAAAATCTAAAATAAAGAGAACATTTAAATGAAATATAAATAATAAGCTATGTGAAATGAAAATAAACAAAACTAAAACAAAGTAAATAGATACATTTTGTATGTATTTACCATCTAAAATTCAATACTTTTTATTTGTTTTAAATTAAAAAAATTTAAAATTTAAAACTTCGTAAATAACATCAGGAGGCATAAAGTAAATATTATTTCAACTGCAAAATAATTTTTTTCATTAAATATATGTAATTTATTGAAATTGTATTTTAATAAAAATTTAAATGAATCAAAGCGGTACAGTTCTATTGTCTAATGCAAGAGAGTAGTACGAGTATGTAAGGTCTGAGGTAACTGACATCATCATGCTCCCTATTTACGTATGCATTGCCCATTTGGTTCGGGATAATCCCTGCCTAAATAGAACTTTTGTAAGTCTTCGATAGGAAAACCCTCCACACCTCCCCACCTGTATAAACTACAGACGCAAGCCCAATGAACAACACTATTCCTGTCGAGTTATTTACTCCACCGCTAAATTCAAGAGACTCGACGAGCACCTACTATCTCTGGCGCGCAGATATCTAAGTCATCGGCATAGTTTCCCCACCCCTATATTCTTGACGCCGAAGAACTTCCTACTGAGTTTCCACAAGCTTTATTCCACAGGCCTCCCTAATCCCTTGCTCGCTACTTCGACGAGATGGCTCGCTCCCCCACTCCATTCCGCTGTACAATCGAGAATATTTAAACCCTCTACACAGAGTGTACTCTTAAGTAGTCTCATTTCCTTGGTAATGCTCTCTAGATAAATATTCATTATTCCTAGTTAGGTAGGTAGGTTGGAGTGGCGGCCGTGTTTACCAAGAAAGCCGACTTGAGTACAAATAATGGCCCGTTGTGGTACCACAAGGAAAAAGCGATGTTCATTATTCCTAACAAATCACTATTCCTCACTGTGATATATATCTTAGATATATTTGTAATAACCAATACTAAGCGCCTTTCACCTTATTCTCCTGATTACTGGAACGCGGCTGTAATCTTCCACAACCGTTCCTAAGAGGTATTTTTATGTTTTATTTTTATGTATAAGGAATATTGTACAGAATTCAATAAACTCAATATTTTTTCTTAAAATTTACTAAAAATAGGATTCATTGATAATTTAAAATTTATTTAAAATTTATTAAAAAACATTTCTCGAAATGTTATTTAATTGTTCGATACTAGAAATTTCAAACGAGGTTAAGTGCATACCGATGCAATGGAACAAAATAGTACTAAAAAGTATTTACGCCAATTGATTTTTAAACTTCTCCTCCCTTTTCGATGGCTTGCATTAACGAGATGAACTTTCTCGTATCAGCGACTGCGGTGAATGTATTTTATTATAGATTTTACCATGTTGCCATATTTTTCAAAGTTTAGCTTTTTAATTTTTACCACTGCCACTGGCATGATCTACTTACGCATTCAAGCAAAAAGTTAAAGTAAATTTATTACAAGGACTTTAATTCCTATGTGGTTTCACCCTACGTCTAAGTCAGAGTTTCAAAAACATCAGCAAATTGGTTCCTCAACCTTCTTACATGCTTTAAATATTTAAAGAATTTATTAAAGATTATTTTATCTACCATAATGTCCTTTTTGATTTGAATTCAACTCATTTGATTTAAAAATGTTTAGAGCATAGGTTCTCTAATAAATTGATTTTTTTTATTTTGAAGAATATATTATTATATATTAAAGGCTTTTTAAGACGGGCGTAGGGACTATAGTTTTATAAATTTTATATATAATTTTATTTATATTATATACTATATAATTTTCTCTCATATAATTGAAAAAACATTATTTTTTTGCAAGTATTTTGCACTTATTTTTGAATACTTTTACTCTGTAATCATCTTCACTATTTCAGTAGATGATATGGACTTAATATAAAGTGTAATTAGGCAAACTGAAAAGATACAAAATACAAATTTGTTAAGCTTAAAACTACAAGAAAAGTTAAAAATCTCATAAAACTTTTGCTATGAGAAATATGACTTTTTCCCTAATGACAATTTTTCCTTCTTCTGATTGTTCCAAGAGGTGATTTAGGCAACAGCGGACTGACGGAAAAGGAAGTTGGAAAGAAAAAGTTACGATGCCAGTAATGTTGATTACAACCAATTAAACAGAAAGTTTATGAAAATATTTAATAATATTTGTCCTTATTTAAAAGTTTTTCTCAGACTTTTGTGAGAGATTTCAAAGCTCATGAAATACGGAAAGTTACAAATAAAATTAATTCACTTAATTTCTATTCAAAATTATTAATTTCGTTTAAAAATAAAATTTTAAGAATATTTTTTTAAAACTGAAAAGTTACTCATTCAGAATATAGTACATGTGATATATAATGAATTGATAGTGTACACTACATTATGATCACACTACCAAATAATAATAGTTCGAATAATGTAATAGAATAGAACACATCACATGTTTCCACTCATCTCATTAACAGGAATATTGTGA